CCGGTCGAGTTCCAACCATGAGGTACATCAGACAGCCGACAGCATTGCGATAAGGCACCTTGGCCATGGTCTCTTCATGGTTGCATCCTCCTTCGCACATGGCCTTGGTCAACTTGAGTCCTGGGTCTTGAGGGGTCTTGACAGGGTTGCTGTTCTCCATGCCAAACTTCTCCAGGATGTCCTTCGCAAACTTGGTCTGACGCACCGACACTTTTCCTGTAGCCGCATCTTGAACGATCTCCATACCGAGGAAATACTTGAGGTGACCCAAGTCCGTCATGTCGAAGCGTTCACTCAAAGCCTTCTTCGTCGACTTGAGCAGCTCGTCGTTGTTACTGGCGAGGACCAGATCATCGACGTAGAGAGCCACAAAGATCATGTCTTGGTCATCCCACTTGACGTAGATGCAGTGATCGGCTTTACACTTCTTGAACCCCAGTTCCAGCATGAACTTGTCAATGGTCTGGTTCCACATTCGTGGCGACTGCTAAAGACCGTAGAGCGAGCGCTTGAGATGACAGACATAGTCAGGATGCTCTTCATCCGTGTAACCGTCCGGTTGCACCATGTAGATATCTTCGTCAAGCAGCCCGTTTAGGAACGCCGTCTTGACATCCATCTGGTGCACCGTCAGATTGTACTTAGCCGCCAGACTGAGCAGGATCCTGATCGACGTGAACTTGGCGACTGGCGCGAAGGTTTCTTCGTAGTCGATGCCGTACTTTTGCGAAAAACCCTTGGCCACAAGTCGTGCCTTGAACCGCTCGATCTCTCCCGCTTGGTTCTCCTTGATGCGAAACACCCAACGACAACCGATAGCCTTTCGACCTTGGGGCAATGGCACCAATGACCATGTCTTGTTCTTGCGAAGAGAGTCGACTTCTGAGTCGCACGCCTCCTTCCACTTGACCGCGTTGCTGGATTCCATCGCCGACTTGAACGTAGTCGGCATTTCTCCCACTGAATCCACAACGTAGGCCGCTTCGAAATCTTCTTCTCGACTACTTGCGACCGCTGACATCTTATCCAGTGTCTGCGGCCGACTCTGTCGCTTGCTTCGCGGGATCTCTACCGCTTCCTCCAACGACTGCGTTCGCTGGTGTCGCTTGCTGCCAGGCTCAAAT